CACAAACAGCAGCATCTCCTGCAGGACCCCATTGTCTCCCCCCTTCCCAGCACAAGGGCTCTTTCCCTCGCAGTCTTCCACGGAGGTGATGTCAGGGCTGATACATTTGTGTCTGAAGTGGATCAAAGCAGTTTCTGCTCCATTGACTGGTTATTTTCCCTCTCCGGGTGTGGATGGCTCCTGTCTGGGTGCAGCACGCCCCAGGCTGTTTGTCTGCCCTCAGATAAATCTCTCACCTCAAGCACAGCAGGAATTAGAGTGAATGCAGGGGCTGGACACCTCCCAAGCTGCAGCAGATGCTGGTGCAGATGGTGCTGGCAGAATTCCCACTGACAAATCATCAGGTGGGATTGTCCAGACTCTCCCAGTGAAGGGGCTGTGGGTCTGGAGTGATCCTACAAGGCTGGGCCAGGGAGTGCTGCCCTGGGTCTGTCCCTTGTCCCCACCCCTTGCAGGTGACAGGGTTGTTGCCACACTGGAGGGACCTGGTTGTGGATGTCTGGGAGGTAAAACACCAGGTCTGGGTAGAGCCAGAGGTCTGCGAGTCTGTCTGCTAATGGAGAGGAACGAGAAACCTCAGGGCTTTAAACAAATTTTTCCTCAGGTATTTGTGTACTTGAAAGGTTCTCTAGTTGAAGGATGAACTTGGAAAAGGAAATCTGTGTTCACTGTGGGAGTTAAAAGCTCCTCCTGAGGCTGAAGGGACGGTGCTGCCAAACAGCCCAGACTGGAGCTCCCACCCTGTTCAAACCATCCTGCTGTTCCCAGCACAGTTCTGAAGGTGGGCCCTTCCCCTTCTGGGAAAGGGATGGATCCTGCTGGAGCTCCTGACCTTCTGACAGTGATGAACCCCATTTGGGCAGAGAGGAGTGTCCCCGTGCTCTGGTCAGGACAGGGGAGGGACACAGTAACTTCATCCCTCTCCTTGGTCCAATTCTTTATTGAAACTGGGCAAACACCCACGAGGATGTTTGGGAAAGGACTGAGCAGAATTTTCTGTGCCCAGCTGAGCCAGGACTTGTGATTTAGGACATTTGTGTCCCAGGCTCTGCTTTCCAGCCCTGAGCATCCCAACTGTGTGGTTGCAAAGGTCCCACCACTGCTGGGGAAGGAATGGCCCTTCATGTTTTTGGGACACTGACCTCAAAACACATATTCTGTTTCAAAATTCTCTCCTGGCTGCTTCTGAAGTTCTCTTTTTGGTCTGGGTTTACTGAATTTGTGAATTAATTTAATCTTTCCAAATGTATACTCTTCTTCCTGGGGGGTTTGTCTGTTTGAGTTATCTATTCTTTTGTTGAAGAATGAGCAGAGCAGAGCCCTGTGGTGGAGGTTTCTCAGCCACTGAGCATCTCTTTCTTCTCCCCTAAAGCAGATGAAGTGAACTTGCTGGACAAAATCACTCTCTATGCCCAGGACCTCAGCAATATTTCCTTTGCCTATGATGAAGCCAACTGCAGGATCCTGGAGGTGGGGCAGTACGCCACCCTCAACATCCCCACCAGGGAGGCCTTTGGGGACAGGTAGGTGCCTTCAGGGGGTGGGGCTGGGCTGGTGGTGCCCAAAAATCGTCCATTGTGTGCTTGTTGGCTCGAGGAGTTGCTTTCAGACCCCATTCCATAATGACAAGGAGATAACACATCCACTCTGTGATCTCAGGAACATTTTGGAACAGGCTGCTCCATCCCTGGAGGTGTCCAGGTTGGATGGGGCTCTGAGCAACCTGGTCTAATGGAAGGTGTCCCTGCCCGTGGCAGGGGGTGGAATGAGATGGTCCTTAAGGTCCCTTCCCACCCAAACCATTCCATGATTTTTTGATCTTTCTGGGTGGGGTGCACAGCTCTTGGCTGAGCACTTCCAGGGATGTGTTTCCTTGGTGTTCCCATCAGGGAGGCCTCTCTGCTCCAGCACTTGAGTGGAAAGGACAAGAAAGGCAGCACAGCCATATCCATCAGCACTGCTTGATGCCAAGGTCTGTGGGGGCACAGACCAGGTGGGACCTTTGCCATGCTTGGTACAGGGCTGCTGAGGACAAGGATGTGGGACATGAAGAGAGAAGGCATAAAAAGCTGCTTGTAGCAGGGTTCCCATCCATCCCCACAGTGGGAAAGGCAGCATTCCCATGGAAAACCCTGCCCAGCCACATAAGTGTGTGCTGAGACTGCTCCTGAGAGGGGTGTGCTGAGGTTCTGTGGTTGAATGGGTGTTTTATATATGTAATATATATGGGTGATATGGTTGTATAAGGTTATGAGTTTATATGGGCAATGCTAATTTTGGCCTGACTGCTTCTTTTTGACTGCCTGACCTTACAACTGCAATGATGGGGTTTTTTTTGCTCCTGTTTGTTTTTATCTTTCATTCTCCCTGGGGTTCATTCGTGCTGTGACTCGTTTGTTGTGCCCCGAGGGGTCAGCCCCTGGTGGCACAGCAGCTGCCACGTGTCCCCTGCTCCTGCCAGGTTTGCAGATGAGCTGAGCGTGCTGATGAAGCTCAGGTACTCCCTGAAGGAGGACACCAGCCTGGTGACCATCCTCAGCCACAGGAGCCACGTGCTCTTCCAGATCAGGATCAACCCCTACGGCCTGGTCTTTGTCACCACGAGGAGGAGACACTACGAGTAAGTTCCAGCTCGGGGGGTTGTTTTTCTGCCTTTTCGTGCTTCCTTTTCCCCTCCCAAGGCCACAGTTGAGGTTTCCTGCTCTGGTGGGCTTTGAGCAGTGCCCATCATGTCCCATGGCCCCTGAAGGTCCCTCAGACCTGTTGCTGTGACTGTGCAGGTTGTCACTGCCAAACTCCACTCTGTCAAAACGATGCAGATCCGGAAAGCAGAGCAAAGAACAAAAAGGTTGAAATACCTGGGGGTGAACCAAACGGGGAAAGACAGAGATACCAAGAATTTCTCAGACACCTCATGTGGTTGTGGAATCCCCAGATCCATTGGGAAACAGCATTCCTGTGCTGGAAGACAAGTGATGGTGCTACTTGTGACAATTCTAGTGCTGTCCTTTGTGTCTGCACTGAGGGACCCTCGGAGCTGATGAGGGTGAAGCCTCATCCTGCATGAGCTGTGGGACCAAAGTTTTGTGCTGTGTCCCTTCTCTTCCCCCCTGGAACACACAGGTTCCCAGTTTCCTTCCTTGGTGATGGGCACTGGCACCAGGTTGCCCTCAGCATCTCCCTGGAGAGGCTGGAGTTGCACGTGGACTGTCGGCTGGTGGACAGAGTGAGCTGGGCCAACTATTTCGGGATGGGAGTGAACACTGAGGGGCTCATCATCATTGGAGGCCTCATCGAGTCCTTTGAGATCCCCTTTAAGGTGAGTGAGGGCAGGGCTGTCTGGCAGGGCTGGGAGGGCATGGTCTGCTCCAGCTGCAGGAAGGGAGGCCTCCATCTCCCTCTGAAGGGGTCCTTTGCCTTCTCTTCCTAAAACACACCGTGTGTGTTCGTGCTTGGGCAGGGTGAGCTTGGAATTGTGCCAGGGGCTTGTTTTTGGCTCGGGGCAGCACAAGGGCCAGCAGTCAGGTCAGCAGTGGGGACCCCTGGGTTTGACTTCCATCCTCTCCTGTTGGCCATGGCTTGTACCACGTACAGGTGTTGCTGTGTGTGCAGAACATCTGGTTTGGGAGCATGTCCCGTGGCTTCACACAGGGCAGGGTTAGATGGGATATTGGGAATAAATCCTTCACTGGGAAGGTGGGGAGGCCCCGGCACAGGTTGCCCAGAGAAGCTGTGGCTGCCCCATCCCTGGAAGTGTCCAAGACCAGGTTGGATGGGGCTTGGAGCAACCTGGTCTTGGTCTTGGAAGGTGTCCCTGCCCATGGCATCTTTGCATCCAGCCCTTGAAGATGGAAAGGGAATGTTGATTGCCCAAACCATCCCCTGGCTATAGGAGCTGGAGACAACCTGCTCCCATAGCCCCTTCCAGACCTTTCTCTGTCCTCTGGAGGAAGAAGCACGAGGATAAACGATGGTTTGTGTGTCCCTTCCTCCCCAGGGAGCTCTCCAGCAGCTGACCTTCGTGATGGGAGACCCCTCAGCCGCCGCCGAGCACTGTCACAGCTACAACTCCACCTGCACGGGCTCCTTCAGCCTCAGCCACCTCACCTCCTCCTGGGAGCCCTCCACAGCCTGGCCAGAGGTGGGGCTGAGGGCAGCTGACAAATTTTGGGAGCGCTGGGCCAGGCTCCTCTTTGGTTTAACCCCACTCCAAGTGTTAGTGCAGCCTGGCAGAGCTCAGCTCTCCATGCCAGGAGGTGATGGTGGGTGGTTCCTTCACCACCCAAACCCCCCCTGCGAGTCACAGATGGGTTTGGTGCGAAGGAGGATGAGTTAAGGGGAGGGTTTCTGAGCCAAGGAAAGCCTGGGTGGGTGTGTGGGACTGTGTTTGCTCAGTGTGGAACACAGGGAAGCTTTGAGGAGCTGTTGAGTAATGCTGCAGCTGGAGCTGGGCTTTTGGGAGGGGGTGACAGCTGTCCTGGGGAATTGTACACCACTTTGGAATTCTTGCTCGCTCCCAGCAGGATTGTACACCCTTTGGTGCATCATCCTGCCAAAGGTTGTCCCTCTGTTCTTGCCAGCGTCGCTGGAAAGTGGAAGTTCGGGGGATTTTGCTTTTATTACAGTGTTAAGTAAATCATCAAGACATTTTTTTGTGCCAAAAAGCCCAAATCACTCAACAAATCCCTCAAAAGACATGAAACACCCAGGCTTTCCTCGGGAGCTGCAGTTGGCCCAGGGAGATGCCTCATCTCTTAGGCCAGGGATATTAGAAAGGAGCCTGGAAAAGGCTGGGGAGAGGCAAGTGTTGAACGCCAGGGTTTGGCACAAACCTCCCACTTCTGGTGGTCTGGTGAGGAGCTGGGACAGCTGCCAGGAAAGGGCAGTGTCAGGGGAGGGAACTGGGTGTGGGATGGGGCATCTGCCCTCTCTGGGGCCTGCCCAAGGTTTCCTTTGGGGTGCTGGTGCCAGCACGTCCTGGCAGCAAAGAGGGAGTGGTGACACCCACCCAGGTGACACCCACCCAAGTGACACCCACCCAGGTGACACCCACCCAGGTGACACCCACCCGGGACAGCCCTTTGGTGGCTGCTCCCCTCCCACCACGGGCTGCAGCAGTTTGTGTGTTTATTATTTTAAGAGGAGGATTTCAGGGAAAGCCTTGATCAGGAGGGATTAAGTAGGAGCGGCTTTGCCAGGGAGTAAATGTGGAGGAGGCTGAGTGTGTGACACAGGGCAGGTCACACTGGCTCTCTGCTGCTCTGAGGGACAGTGGGGTGACCCCTGGCCATCCCAAAATGCATTTCTCACACTGACAGCCCTTGGAGGGCGTGGCTGTGGCTCTGGGATAAGTTAACTCGCTCCCTAGAGCCAAGAGTTAAGGACAGATCTCTCATTTAAAAGCTCCAAGATGTGTCCTCTGAGCCTGGGAGGTGATGGGCTCATTTTAACATTTGTATTATCCCGAGTTCTGGAGGCCTGGAGCTTTGGATGGCTCTAATGTCTGACCCAGCAAGGAGAAGCTTGAAGCATCAGTACATTGACTGCAGGTGGGACAATTCTGCCCCACATCCCACCAGTTCCCACCCCTTGCTGGCCCTTCCCAAGGACTGATGAGCTTCCAAATGAGGAGAAACTGCAAAAACCACCCAAACACTTGAGGGGTTTAATCCAAAGCTATTCCCTCCTGTTCCTCTGAAGGATTGGCTCTCAGTGTGCATTCCCTGGATTCCTCCTGTGCCCTCAGAGGCAGTTCCATCCTGGAGCCAACAATAAGTACATGGTTAAGTCAGTGCTGGTCCTTGGGCAGTGATATTTTCCCTCTTTCTCCCTCCATCTCTCCAGGTGCCAAAGGAAACCAATGAAATCCAGGATTCCTCTGCTCAGGTAAGACTCTCCTGCATCTCCCCTCTCCATGTCCCTCTGCTGTCCCACCCCCAGAGCATCTCCTGGGGACGTGAGCTTCTCTTAGGAGCAACAAGGTAAACCCCAAAATTCCCAGAACAAGGCTACTAATTATTATTTTCTTGGCTATTTGTTGTTATTTTTCTTTACTGCAATATTTCTCTTTAATGATTTGGATGTAACTTGACGTGTCTGGGAGCTGGTGGAGGCCAAGGTGAGTGTTCAGGTGACCTTCCTGAGCTCCAGTGAGCCCCAGAGGGATGGTGATGGAGGTGGAGATGAGATGGATCAGGTCACCACCTGCACAGAGGTGTTTGGGAGTCCTTGTGCAGAGGGATTAGCTTGGAGGGAAGGCAGTGAAGGTCAGCAGGGTGGCAGGAGAAGGCAGAGGTTGCACATCCACTGCTGCTGCCCACGTGTGGGATGTGATGCCGGAGGTGGGAAGGGCTGGAGCTCTGCAGTGGGAGGAGGCAGCTGTGGTTCTGGGGGTTTAGGAAGCATCCCCCTGCCAGGGCAGGGCTCCTTGGCTGCTCTGGTGGTCATGGCACTGGGGTTGGGGGTTGATTGTCCCATCTGCTCTCCCCCAGCTGGAGCTTGGAGCGGGTTCCAGCTCTCCTGCGTGTGCCGGGGGGATGAGCGAGTGAGCAGAGCGAGGCTGGCTGCAAGTCCTTGGTGCTCGTGCTTTGTTTGGGATTTCCAGCCAAGATTTGTTGTTCGAGTTCATGCAAACAGACATCCTGAGGGGGAAACCTGCCAGCAAATGGAAATTGAGATTTGTGTGTGTGTGTGCGTGTGTGACTGAGCAGTTCGATTCCTTCACTCCCCTCACCCTCCCAGAGTCCTTCACTCCCCTCACCCTCGCTATTAACTCTTTGGGGAGGGTTTCTCTTCTCACTCCTGGCTTTAACTGTCTGGTTACACCTCGATAACTCCTTTGTGCAAACCTCTTGTGTGGTGCAAAAGTGACTTTTAGAGCAGGTTCATCCCCTCTGCCCCAGGCTTTGATCTTGACACCTCACAGGTGAATGTGCTGCAGATTTGGGGTGATGATGGTTGGGTTTGGCATGAGCTGAGGTGGCAAAACCGCTCAGAAAGGTGGGCTCTGCCTCCCTGCAATCAGTCCTGGTGGCTCCTGATTGGGATTTGATCCCCATCATCCAAGGCTCCTTTGCCAGCAGGCTCTCCCTGCGCCTGGTGAGATGTCACCAATAATGAGAAAAGTGGTGAAATTCGTGGGTCTGCAGGGGAAAACTAATGATATTCTGGATTTGGGACAAGTTTATTTTTCGAGCTTTTAATGAGGACCAGAGATGCCTCGGAATCTTTGGCGTTTGGATTTATTAAATGGAAAAAGTGCTACTAATGCATCACAGTTTGGAAATAATGGAGAGCAGAGCAGGGCTGGGCCACAGCTCTGCTTTGTAGTTGTGCTCTCCCTGCCTTTGTTCCTTTAGAAGTAAATTGGTAGATTAGTGAATTCCTTAATTGCTAATTAGAGCTAAATAATTTTGCAGGCTCAGGGTGATGGTGGAGGAAGATATAAGTGGGTGAAGGCAATAGTTTAGCAGCCTAAATGACACCTGGATTGCAGCCTATTCCTGTTGGGAATTTTTTTCTGAGGGGTAAATTGCCATTTCTGAGCAATCTTTGGGACATGGATGGTGTTGAGAGACTTTTCCTGCCTTTTGTCTTCTCTTTGACTGTCTGTGCTCGACATGAGCAGGAGGGCTGAGCTGGTTGCTAAACTGAACGGCTTTTTCCAAAGCAATTTAATCTGGGATCCTAAAGCCATTCAGCAAATAGTCAAATAAAGCTTAAATTCCACTGATTTCCAGAGGGAAAAAACTTCACAGGTTTAATTATCCGGGCAGCTCAAACTCCTTTGGAATTTTCTTCTCAGTTTAAAGCTGCCGTGAAGGCTCCGTGGAGACGCTCGGTTTGGTCACGGTGTGTCTGTTCTTTCATCTTCAGATTTGTTATTGAGCAGAATTGGTGTTGGAATCGCTTGTTCAGTCTCATTCAGTCCTAAAACCGCTGGATAGTAACAGCTCCAGCCTTCCTTTAAAATCAGAGCAGCCTGAAGCTGATGCTCATCTTCCAAAGGGCTCGTGCCTGGTCATCCCAACTAATAAAGACCAACCCTCAAGTGGGAACTGTCAGTCCTCCACCCCTCTGTTTCCCTGGAACTCTGGGGCTGCTGGTTCCTTGGATAAGCTGATCTAACACCAAATATCCCTGTTGGGGTGTGGGGAAGTGACTGACAGCTGGAGCCCAGCACTATCTCCCCCGCTCTCTTATCTTGAGATGGTTGTTCCTGTTCCTGAGAGCTCAGATATCTCAGCCACCTGCAGAGCTCTGAAACCAGTTTCTCAGGCAGGATAAGATCTGTGGATCATTTGTTGCCCCTCAAACCCACCGTGAGATCAGTGTAATGAAAGGAGTGTGTTCCTGTGCACCACAGTGGTTTTTAATCCCGAAACCACGTCGAAGGAATGAAGTGCTGTTCCCTCCAGCCTCACCACGGGACACCCTCCGCTGGCAATTCCAGCTGCTCTTCAACCTTTGACCATCTGAACTTCTGCCTGGGCTCAGCTTTTGTGCCCCTGTTGGCTTTTGTGACTTGTCCTAAGCTAGAAGTGTTGCAGGAAGGGCTTGGCTTGGCTTGGCCAGCGTCGTCTCTGCTCCTACTCCAGCAGCTTCCCAGACCATTGTGGTCCCACCGGCACCTCGTGTCCTGCTGCAGGGCTGTGTCTGTGCTCAGGGCACCCCCATCCCCTGTGTGCAAGCCCAGCAGGGCTCTTCTCTGCTCAGGGCCACTTAGAAATGGGGTTTGCTCTGCTTTTGCTCTGCAGAGGTGAGGCCTTTGTGCTGCCTTTGTGCTGGGCGGGAGCACAGGGAGCCCCTGGGAGGCTTTGCAGCCTGAATGTGGCCCCTGGATGTGGAGCTTGCAGGGATGTTTGGGATTTTGGGTGCCTGGGTAGGACACCAGGGAACCCTGAACATCCCCCTGGGGAAATAGGGCATTCCTGAGGCATCTCACAGGGACCTCCAAAACACAGGGCAAAATATAGGGACCTCCAAATAAAGACCATCTCGTTCCAACCCCCTGCCATGGGCAGGGGCACCTTCCAGTATCTTTAGGTACCTTTCCAGTAGCTAAAGGGGCTCCAAGAGAGCTGGAGAGGGACTTTGGACAAAGGCATGAAGTGACAGGACAAGGAATACGGGTTTTAAACTAAAAGAGCGGAGATTTAGATTGGATGTTGGGAAGAAATTCTTCCCTGTGATGGTGCTACCTTCCACTAGCCCAGGTTGCTCCAAGCCCCATCCAGCCTGGCCTTGGATCCAGGGGCAGCCACAGCTTCTCTGGGCAACCTGTGCCAGGGCCTCCCCACCCTCCCAGGGAAGAATTCCTTCCTAATATCCAATCCAAATCTCTCTTCTTTTAGTTTTAAAACCCATTCTTCCTTGTCCTTTCGCTTCGTGCCTTTGTCCAAAGCCCCTCTCCATCTTCCTTGTAGCCCATTTAGGTACTGGGAATCATTTCTTTGGTCTGTCTATTTTTTCAGTCTTACAGTGGATTCACTTCCCCAATCCAGCACCTGGGTGCCACATATGGAACTTGAGAGGGAACATTTCTGGCATTGAGGGAGTGGCTCCTGCCCCTGTGGCCTGAAGCAACAGGAGAAGGGCCAAGTGACACCTCAGGGCTGCAAGGGCAGAGCAGGGGGAGGCTCTGCTGAGCACCAGGAGGGGTTTCTCCTCCCCACACTCCTGCTGCAGGCCCACAGGTATAACTGCCTGCCCTGATCTGCTGCTGGACACAGGATTTCCTGGCAATTTTTCCTTTTTTTCAATCAATCCAGCCTTGATTTTCAGTCTTCCTGTGGTGGAGCCTCTTCCAGGAGCTCAATGCTACAACGTGCTGGAGGGAATAATTTATAATTGTCTTTCTCTGATCCTGAGCTTGTGGATCATATTGTACCTTTGGCTGTGGATGGAAGAGGCTCCTACTCACAAAAATGTGCTTCCTCAGAGAAGACACTGAGCTCTGAACTGGGTTTTACCCAGCCTGACCTGGCTGAAAACCAGGGCAGAATGTGACTCTGGTTGTCTGGGCTCCTGGAGACGGGGATGCTCCAGGCTGGGTTTTAACCCATTTGCTGTTTAGTTGAGTTTTTGGGTTGTGGCATCAACTGAAAAGCCCTGCAGAAGTCCAGCATCACTGCCCCAGCACTGTTCTCTTGGCCAATAAAACACTCTTGGTCTCCTCAGGCAAGAAGCCAAGTTAGTTACACAGCAACTCTTTCCAAACCCACGGCATTAATTACATTATCTCTGGTTTCTTTATTAATGAGCCCCATGTTGGTTGTTCTGTTATTTTGCTTGGGCTCAGCCTGAGGGAAGAGCTCTGTAACTATTCAAGGCTTCCCGTTTGCCTTTTTTTTTTCCCCCTCTTTTTTTTATTTTCCTCTTTCATGTTGGCACAACATAAAGCCTTTTCCCAGTCCCCTGGAGCTTCCCCAGCTTCCTGAGCCAAACTGAAAACTCAGAGCTCGTGGTGGGGAGAGCCTGTGACTTGAATGCTTTTTGGATTGGATTGTGGGGACAGGATTGAGAAAACCCCCCTCCTTGTCACCTCTGGAACGGAAAGTGGTTTGTTGTCATTTGGTTGTGTCATCTGGCCTTTCTGAACAGAAGGGGGGATTCTCCATCCCTGTTGCTGCTGCTGGTTCAGTCCCTGCCACGTGGCAGAGGGTCCCAGAGGGGACGCACCAAGGCCTGGCTGGGGCAGAGGCTCCTCCTGCCTTCATTTTCCTTGTTTAACTTGATTTTCTGCAAATCATGGCATTGCTTATCACGTGCCAGTCCCTTTTTCATCCTGTTTTATCATTCCCTAATGGCTGCTTTCAATTTGGGCTCATTCCCCACTTCCCAGCTGGAATTTTCTGGGAGTTCAAACCCACATGCCTTCAGCCTCA